CGCGGGGACCGGCGTGCTGAGCGGCGACTTGCTGACCAAGGAGGAGGAGTACAAGTAAGGAGGCGGCCGGGACGGCGGCCAGGCCCCGTCACCTCAGCGTTACCCCGCTCGCTGCTGGCTGTCCTAACGGAGTTGACAGTTAATCCCCTGCATCGATTCCCTCAACTAGTTCCCCCAAAGCGTAGAGATGCAAGTACCAAAAGCAACGCTTTAACTTTCTCCCGGCGCAGTACAGCCTTCCTGCCGCCGTTTGACACAGGCGCCTTAGGGCAGTCTGGGCGCTGCTCTAGGCCTTGCTTCTATCCCGCCTCATTGGACATTAGATTTTTCTGCATTAAAACTCTGACATTACTTTTACGTTAGTGCTTAAGCCTGTTAAAAAAAAAAAAGCTTAAAAGCTCTAAAGCTTGTGACAAATGCAGTGAAAGCCCATTTAAAAGCACTCGTTGTGTTACCTGTCAGTTCTCAGCCCCTGTGAATGGTGAGGATGTACAAGAAGCCATGTCTCAAACTCAGGCACACTGCATGAAAAGCTATGAAGTGAAGCTTGCAGGAACACAAGCTTATTTTAACCTGTACATATGTATAGTGACACATTGTAATTAGGCGATCATGTAATTGTACATAAATCCTTCCCAACCCTTGCTGCTAAGTATACCTAAGGTAAGGACTCAGAAAGCATTGAGGAAATAAAGACGTAAAACGTGTATTAAGCAATGACATGGCCAAAACCAAGGACACCCTTTGCCTTTCAGAGTTATAGTCTAAACCTTCCTGTTTAATGGATAGAGTGTTTTATTACTATTGATTTGACAGAAACCCAGGAAATTGTTGAAATGTAATTTTGTTAATACCCTGAAGTATATAAATTTCAGTGTTCCTTTGCAGGAATTTCACTTAGTTCAGGCAGAGATACTGTCATGCTTGTATTTATTTCCTTCAAATCTTTCAAAAAGCATTAACAAGCATTCTTTCTCTTTCAGGCGACTGAATGCAGAATTAGAAGCAAAAACAGAAAAGCTGGTGCGTCAGGCAGAAGAAGTAATGGTGAGCAGGTTATGCATAATTTAGCCTTGATTCACGTGCACACAGGGTCAAGTTTCTAAAGAAATTATTTGGACCATGACAACTAAAAGTATTTTAGTTTCAACTGCAATCTAAGCTTTTGATTTCTTTTTTTTTTTTTCAAAATTGTAAACTTCTAAAAATGCATCCAAAAATAGGTTTTTATATCATTTCATCAGGTAGGTGGATGCTCACATAGATGCATAAGAGCATTTGTGCAGCTGTATACATAAAATCACAGAAAAAAAACTTGTTTATGATATTGAAGAAAAGTATCTGTAGGTGGGTTTATGTCTTAAAAAAAAGGTATTTGAAAACAAGATACTGTTGCAATAACTTCCTAGTAAAATAGATCTACATTGTTCAAGCTGAAAGAAATACAAAGAATAAGCAACATAAATAGAAAATATATGGTTAGTAAGAAGGAAACTTTCTTAAAACAGAAAAAAATTCTGTTTATTGTCAGTATTATCTTTTAACATTGGTGTGGCTATGTATTGGAGTCAAATTTTTATATGAAAATTGGATAAATTTAAAAAAGGAACAGAGGAGGTATGGTTTATACCTAAAACAATTTGGAGGAGGTGTTCTGCATCTTAGATATATTCATTGTAAGTGCACTCACTCAAATACATGAGGCTTAAAAAGCAAATTATTAAGTCTTTTGGAAAGCTGTCCTTGCATGTACTTTTCCTGCTGTTGAAACTTCATTATTATGTCCTGTGAAAACATTCTTCTCTTGAGGTGTGATAAGCTGAGGCTAACTGCTTGGCATTTGAACAGAAGCAGATGAAGCATCCAAAATAGCATCTAGTCTCTTTCCTTTAAAAAAACAGCAACAGCAAAACCACTTTTTTTTTTCCCCTTCTCTAAATACAGCAGAAGATCAAATGTTCTTAGGACACTTAATATACCACATGGCACTGCCAGATTGCACAGATATACATTTAACAACAAAAGAAAAACAGTCTAAGTTTAAAAAAAACAACCCACAACCAAACCCAAAAAAACCCCAGAACACCAAACAGGACAACTTCATTTTGCTCTGGATTATGCTCTCTAACTGTAACTTGGCAACATAGAAGCTGAATTGTTCTCTAAAGTACATACAACATATAGGTGTGCAGTTATGGTTGTATTGCATGAATATTTATTTTTAAGGCTTATTGTGCAATATAGAAAATAGGGAAAATTAAAAAATTTGTTCCACCTGCTGTCCATTTGCTACTCCTGTGTTTCAGAGGTAAAGGAGGGAAGGTAGCAGCATCTCAGATGATGTTAAGTTGGGCAAAAGTTTTACAGGCAAAAGGCAATTCTATGTTGTGGAGCAGAAATAAATGTTGGAGGATAGCAATGGCATTTTAATTTTTAAGCCATCTTTTCCTGTGTTTGAGAAGTTCTTTTCCACAGTAGACTATAGTTTCCATTCTTTACCACAGTAGACTACGTGATCTGTGATTTATGAATACGTAATTCATCTTTAACAGATTATATTCTCCCAAAATTGACCTTTTTTTTTTTTTTTAATAAAGAAAGGCCAACAGGAGATACTGTCTAGACCAGTTTCAGTACAGACTAAGTCACATGAAGACGACAGACAGAGGTATGTGCTTTACAGCTGCTGCATATAATTTTGGGGGAATCTTTCACACTGATCCTGCACACCTTGACTTGCGCCCTAGTCAGGCTCCTGTTTTATCTATCTTTGCAGCTTACTGGATTGGTGGAGTCTAAATTTTTTCCTATTATTTAAAACAATACTAAGTAAGTGTTGTTCCTTGTTAGTTCAAGGAAACCTTCATTTTGCTGAAGTGTTTTATCTAGGATGCTGAGTAGTGCTGACATCTGTAAAAAAGCAAGGTAAAGTAACAGGTTTCTTTGCAGTACAAAACAGCAGACACTAAGCAGTAGATGGTTTTTAACCAGTTCAGCTGACAAAGCGAAGAAATAGATACTGGTTCACATTTAACTTGGCCTAAATGTTCCTGGGACAGGAAGTGCTTGATAAAAAACCCCAAACATAAAAACCTAAGACAGACAAACATTCAGCTGCCACCCTCTGGAACTTGGCTATCATTACACTTCTGAGGCCAACATACCTTTGGCCTGTATGAACATACGTACAGCTGTGGGTTTTGGCCTGTATGTTCAAACCTGTTAGCTTTAGAGTGGATACGTAGTCGTATTTAGTTGTTCAAGGGTTTGTATATTAATAGCACAGGAAGTAGGTGAATTTAAGATAGACTAATACACAGTTTATCAATGATCTGATCTGGTAGGTTCCTCAATTTATGATGCCACTAATCTGGATAACAAAGATACAGGGCCAGACTACAGGGTGCTTCAAATGTTAAGCTGCAGCTGGGAAACTGTTTTGAAATGCTATATATGGAAGTCTGCTAGAGATGATCAAATAATTACTTTTGTGCTGAGTAACAGTGAGTGAGTTTATGAACAAAAAGTGAGTTTATGAACGTGAAAGCGTTTTCCAATACACAAAAAGGTGTGACAGGAAGCCTTTGATAGAAGCCTGGCTATATCAGCCAAAGTTTGCTACTATAGTTAAAATTATTGCTGAGCTATTTTAAAGCTATATCTGTCAGTTGTAGAGGAGAAAAAAAAGAAACTCCATTTGTTATCAGTATAATCATGCGTTGCAAACAAATTCTGGATCTTGCTTTAGTTTTATGTTCTGTTAGATGAACAGTAGACAGAAGATTTTTAAGAACTTCAAACTGGAGTTGAGTTTTAGGGATGTTTTATGAAGTAACGTGACGGGAGGATTCAGCCCCACAAAGGGGGTTAACAGTTTTGATGGTATACAGTTGAAATAAATGGGAGTGCTGGAAGAATTAAAAAAAATATTGGCAATTAGCATGTTGGAGTAGCAGCTGATCTATCAGTTACCTACATAAATTAAAACACCTTAAAACAACCACAGTCTGTGTTCTGGTAAACATTTATGTGAGAGAAGAATTGAAATCCCATGCTGTAGTGAAAAAAATTAAAAGTGTGTGCTAGGAATTAGGCACACTGATTATCCATGAGTGAACATTGAGGCCATTCAATTAGATTAGTTTCAACTATTTAATATTTAATTTAAGAAAATTTTTCTTTCAAAATTGCACAAGCAGATAGGCCATAAATCTAAAGAAAGCACTTGAGAGATTTTTGAAATATCCATTTGAAATGTCCATTGATTCCTTTAAGGAGAATGAACACTGAGGCCACTGGGAAGAAGGGCAGAAATTGAAGCAAAGGAAGAGGCAGTATTGGGGGGGGCGGGGAGGAGAAAGACAGGTTAAAAGAAAAAAAAGTAAGCAAGGTAAAAAAAAAAAAGGCAACAAATATTTAAGTCACTTTCCATGTCAGTGTATATTTTAAAGTATGTTGTTCTGGAGTTTTTATAGCGTAATTTTTGCGGAGAAGCTTGAATTACAGAGACAAAGCAGCTCCAGTGACACCGCATTGAAATCAGCTTTTGTTTACACTTTCACTCTTCAGAGCATTGCCAGGCTCATGGTGATGGGAACAGTACGCGCATGGGCAAGCATGCTATAGGCTTTCAATAGGATTAGCAAACACAAAGGGTTTGCTCATGCACATGCATCTCATGTTTACACGCAGAGATGGAATTGTTAAACATTAGCTTCTGTTTCAGTGTTGCCACAATCCTCTGGCTACTTATTTGTATACCTTTTCAGGATTTACACATCAATTTCACTTACCAAACAACTATAGAGCTGTATTATGAGATTTTAAAAATGGGTTGTCATGTATGGGGAAGAGGAAAGAAACCATTAAGGTTAATCAAGTTTGAGGCATTTAGTGAACAGTGAGGGGTTTGGTGGGGTTTTTGTTTGTTTTTTCTTTGTTAATTTTTTTTTTTTTAAAGAAGGCCCTGAGACAACAGATACAGTAGTAACAAATTAATCTATTGATGGAAGGAATGTTATTGTTTTCTTGAGTATAGAGTGTTGTATTTTCAGTTTTTTCAGAATAACATATAAATGCTATTTCTGTGGCAGCAAATCTTCACCTTCTGCATGTTTCTAAAGCTAGCCAATAGGAAGGAAGCATGAGGAAAATAGGGTAAATAGACAAAACCTAATCATCCTATTCTTGAAGTCTGTTGCCAACCAAACACAGATGATTTCTCCAGGTTTTTTTGGATTAATAAAATCTGGAGCTTTGTGCAGATAATTCTTGTTGATGAATGGATGTCTCTGACATTTTTAAAGACAAGATCTAAACATTTGCTCAAATCAGCTGGGCAAAAAAATTGAGGTGACTTGATGTGTCTGAAATTTAAATTTTATTCCAAATCTTTTATAAAAGCCAGCAGTTTAATTGAAGTAAAAAATTATAAAAGGTATTAAAAAAGTAGCCTTTCAGTGCAATAACACAGATTGACATAACTCATTCTAAAAGCAAAAAAGTTATATATATGACAAGAAATTTGACCTGAGTAGTACACTGCATGCTAAAACTTTGTTTGTTTCCAGCACATTTTAAAAATAATCATTTCACCTGAAGTTCAGTTACTAAGGAGCATGGGTTTCAGCCAAATAAGCAGATAATAAAGCTGTTTTTTAATTCCTATTTTTTATCTGTAAAATTGATACAATATTTGTAGTATGTATATCAGAGAAAATTCTGAGGCTTAATTTATAATTCGGTCCCATGTCATATTCACTTGATAGTCCCTGTCAATTGACTTGACAACAATCAATCTGAGCGTACAATTGCACTCGCTCTTAGGATGTAGAGGACACTGGTTTATATCTTCATTTTCTTTGTATTAATTCAGGGATTTGTATGTCAGGTGTATTCACTACTGAGCTGTGGTGATCTTTGGTAATGGATTGTCAGTCTTTCTTGTTGAAGCTGATCACAGTACATACTGGCTAAGTACTCCCTGGTACAGGGAATCATTGATCTAGTAAGCCAGTAGTTGCAGCAATCACCTGCATTGCAAGAGATGAGATTCAGATTCTGGTACCTAAGTAAACTATTATATCTGATACCCTAGACTCAGTGGGTGATTTAGATAGCAAATGAGGTAGAATGGAAAGACAGAGAATGAGACTGAATTTATGATCGAATTTAGTGTATGTTCCCACCTTAGCTATATTGTTTATTCTAGACATGGAAAATATTATTCTCCCGATTCTGATGAAAGGGTTTGAATTTTTATTGTGAAAAGTTTATTTTGTTATACATGTTCAGTAATTATTTTTTAATTTTTTTTATTTTTTCCTTTCTGCAGGGGTTCACTCTGTCCTGAAGTTTCATCTCTTACACACTCGCATGCCAAGGTATCAAAGTCAAAACTATCCTGGTTAATTTCTCTTCTAGTATAATTTCCATATATTACTGCTGGTTTTGAAGCTGTGCTACACTGGGGACTTACATGGGTGGGAAGCCAAAAGGAAATGGTGTTCAAAGCAGTACTACAGGGACAGTGTTACCAGGGTTTCTCAGTGCCACTGCTGGGTAAGTGGACTTACATCGTTTAACTTTGTGTTCTAAGTTTTGTCATCTGTAAGTATTGACAGTAGTGCTCAGAGTGTTGAACATCAAATTAAAAATTCCAAGTGCAAAATATCAGAACATAATTCCTTTCTTCCTTTCTCCCCTTCCCTCCCCCATGAGTATAACACTAAAGGCAGTACTACTGTCTTTTAGATGTAATAATAAACAAGTCAAAATAATTGAAAACAGGAAGGGAAATATAATGGACAAAGGAGATTGAGATTAGGAAAAAACTCAATAGTCTCTAATTACAATTACATTGAATCTTCTAGGAAGTGAGCTAAAGCTTCCAAAATAATGTGTTCAGTTATTTATGAGAATACAGTAGAAAAAAAAGCCTAATTTTTGAAGAATATTTGAGTGAAAGTAACAAAAATGTTGTTAGATCTTCCTTCTACAGGGAGTTTATAAGATTAAGATAGTGCATAAAAATAGCATGTTTTTGAAGGTATGATAAGCATTTTTCAAAGAAGTGCACTCTGTAGACAGTCCAATAGTTAATATCTTGATAGCAGCTGAGAGCCTTACTTATGCATGATTTTATTATGAGTATGCAAAAACTCTCACAAGCAAATGACTATTGGGTGTATTATGATTTGGGAATATGGACATGAAAGTTGCAGGATAAAGATGAATGCAAATAAAACTGGAAAATTGTGCTTTTGAAAGTTTGAAAAGCATACTTTGAAAAGTATCCTTGAGTCTGAATATATGAAAAAAGAAAAAAGTGAACACAAAAACCACTAGATAAAAAAGTAATTCCTAACTAATTTTAAAAAAAATCATTACTTTCTGAAAAAAAAATTGTAGCTAACAAGCAAGAAGAAATGTGCTTCCATGTCCGCGGCTCAGAACAGACCATACTCTGAAAGTAAGGGAAAAAGAACAACTTCAAGGTATGTTATACATGTCTCTTACTTTGCAATAAAATATTTTAGTTGCTGTATCAGGTTATTATTATTCATGTATACTTCTACATTTATATATATTTGTATAAATAAATGTATCAAACTTTTGGTCCTCCTCAGTCAGCTCACCACGTAGCTATCTCTGTTTACTTGCTTAGAGCACCAAAAAGTATTAGTGAACATATGTGATTGATATTACAGCAATGAAACTGTTGCTCTCTGCTCAAACGCTTCTCAAGGCTGACAGTTAAACTCTCTAACTCCTTCAGTTAAAGGCTGCCTAATGAGCATACATGCAGGAAATACATCCTCTGAGGCAACATGAGAGAGCACACTTAGGTGGTGCAGACTGACTTGTCGTCAGACTTGTCATGGGAAACATGAGGCCCTCAAGGGTCTCCCCTATTTTGGTGAATCTTGGGCTCAGAGGACAAGAGAGAGTCAGTAATAGTAGCACAGCTTTCAGGGTTTCAAGCTGAAAGGCTTCAGTTCTGTAGATGGCAAATTCAAGGTTGTAAAAGCAAGAAATGGAGATCTGGACAGAAGAAATGAGTAGAGAAATGGATAAAATCCTGAGAGCAAATTAAAACTGCCACAAGATACGGACAAATACTAAAATAGGATGAAAATTGTCTGCAAGGTGGCAGAACATGGAACTGGCACAGGCCAAGGTTGTCGTTCAGGACTTGGGAGTCATTTGTGGACCCTTGGGACCTCCCTTGGGCAGTTCAGGGGAGGCTGTCGTGCTGGCACCATACCATGAGATTTAGAAGTGCAGATGCAGGACCTGTAGGGTGAACCCAAACTTGTGGGAGAAAGTTAGCAGCTAGAAGGAGTTTGGAGGTTGCACTGGGATGAGAATATGTTGGAATAAGACCATAGGAGCTTCAGGTCCTGTGGGAACTAATGTCATCTTTTTATAAAAGAAAGCTGAGGAGATACCCTACATAGCAGATGTGTCACATACCTAGTGTTTCGTTTTTTTGAAAACTTTGGTATGCAACTTGTAGGATCAATGAAGTTTCCTAAGCCAGGCATAATGATACAGAAATTGTGGTAGTAAGGTAGGAGTATAGCTAGAGAGGACAAGAGTTCTAGAAAAGTTAACACGCAGGGGGAAAAAACCCCAGAATTTAAGTCAGAGAATAGTAGCTAAAGCCAAGAGAACATTCCTCTGTTTCTTTCTTTTACTCTAATTTAGTTATGAAACTGTTGGATGAGAAGACCAAAATCTTCTCTAGCAGAAAATGGTACTGTTTCTCTGCCTCCTACATTAAAATATGTAAATTCCTGTAATTGTTTATGTGGAATACAGTAAAGGTATCTGATGTAAAGAAAATGAGAAGTTGCCATCAATGCATCTTTCATACGAATGTGAGCAATGAAGTTGCATTAGGTAAATAACTCTGTATACTCTTAAAAATAGCAAATATGCTATATTTTTGTAAATTATTTTTTTAATTATAAGTTTAAAATCTAGGGTTTCCTTTTTTTTAGTTCAAAAATAAGAAATCTGGAAGTACAAAGTGCTGATGATGTTGCAGTACTGGAGGATTGCATAAATTTTTCTTTAGCAAAAACAATAAGCAAAATAGAAGAAAAACTAGAGGGAGGAGGCTTACCAGATTGTCTAGATGATGACATTATTCCAAGCGTTGGAAATGAAATTGGAGCAGGTAGGTTTCCTCCCATAATTAAGTACTTTTATTTTTACTTCCAGAGATGGGTTCTCCTGAGGGGAAAAAAAGGAAAGATTTCTGTAAAAATTATAGGGAAAGTTCTAAAGCTCTGAGGTTAAAGGAGAAGAAGGTTTTTCTTCTTTATGTAGTCCTAGAGGAAGATCAGGTCACGTATGAATAATCATGGAAAAAAATATTTCCGCCTTTGTAGGAAGACATTTGGATGGTTATATATGCTGAATATATGCATAACATTTGATTCATTTCACTGGGGAAATAGAAGTACTTGATGCTAAACTTGTATTTCTGAAAAGATGGGCTTCAGTCTTTTGCACAGACTCCGCCTTTAGAGGAAGAAGCCTTTCCTCAGATCAATGCTGTGGATCTCAGTAAGTGGCTTAAATGAGAGTAATGTTTCAGCTACAGTGCTTGAATGAGAATCCTCCAGATACTTTCCCACTCCAAATGGTGTGTTTATGTTTGTCCTAGAAATAGAGTAGGAAAGGGGATTGCAGCATTTGCCAGTGAAGCTAAAGGCATGATGCACATCTGTCTTCTCAGCTTTGGTGTGATGAAAGTGGATTTATGTAGTTTCTTACAATGCTAAAGTAAGCACAAAGTCAGATTCATTGCAGTAGCGCAAAACGCCCAAAATCTCTTCTTTTAATCTAACAGCTTGATGGCAACAAGCATGCGGACACAGAAATAGCTTGATTTCTGACCTCAAGTAATTCTGTGCAGGTCTTCTGTTAGGAAGTCGCCCAAAACAGATCCTCTGATAGCTTTTTTTATAGCTCTTGTTCCTGAACTAAAAAGAAATTGCTTTGGACTGCATTGGAAGCTTACACCAAATAAATTCAAGGCAACTCTAGAAGAGTTACTACTGGTGTCTAGTAACCAGGTTTTGTAGACGAAAGGCATGTATTTGAATATTGAGAATTGCTTCTGTAACTCTAATGATGAAATGAAATTACTCTGGATTGATTTTTGCTTGTTAAATTTGATATTGACTATTTAGAACACTGCCTCCTTAATATGCTAAGTAAGTTATTGCAGAGCATGCTAGCAGCATCAAACTCACAGAACAGTTACAGTTTTCACAAGGAAGTGGATGTAGATAATAAATAGGCCCTGTTACAGAGTGGGCTGATCCCGTAGTGGGAGTCTCGTGGTAAGGGATTCCTCAGGCTTGCATGCCTGTGGTAGACCTTTTAGGCCAACGTGCTGATAAGGTTCCATAGCATTGTCCCTTCCCTGAGCTTCTTGCAGTGCTCTTTCTGGACTTAGGCTCCATACCTTTATTTCATAATCACAGGTTATCACATTTTTCTGCCAGCACAGTAGCTTACACATTATTTTTCTCAGGGGCTGTTTTTGTGGGTTAAAACTCAACTCTGCAGTAACAAGCAATGATAGAAGCACACAGATGTGTAGAAGGCTGAAGCTCTATTTTTTGTCTAATATACCCCCACACATATGAACAAAATACCTGAATGTGTTGTCACACTTCATGTTAATCTTCAGGTTATCTCACGACTTCAAGACGCCTATTCTATCTTGTAGGGTATCAGAGTCTCTCAGATGTCCTCTTCTTGTTTACTATTCCCTAAACTGTCAGTTACTTTATAACCTAAGCCCATCCTATTAAGTGATACCTCTCTTCCTTATCAGCCTTGTCAGGTGATTAAAATTGACCAATTAGAAGCTAATGGTTTAATTATCATTACCTCTTGTGAGAATTCAAACTAATTTTGGATCATAGCCACCTCCCAAGGCTGATCTGGTTCTAGTTGTGCTCTTGGATTTTTGACAAAGTTTACTATTAAGTGCTCTTAATGACACAGAGCTGTCTAAGAGAGAAGAGAAGTTAGTCTGTAGACTATTAACCAAGTAAAAGGAAACAAAATGGTAAAAAGAAACAACTGTTTATCACAGGTAGTGGTATAGTCCTAGAGTGATTGTCATAGAGCTTATATTGTTCAATATACAAAAAAATAATCTGGAAAAATGAAATGATAGCTGGTAAAGAGATTTGTATATGAAACAATGATTTTAGGATAGTTAACACTGACATTGAAATGTTGTAGAAGAGTCTCATAGTACTGAGGTGATAGAATGGAGGTTTATATTCAGCATTAAAGAGTGCAAAGTAATGCTGATAGAAAAAAAATTCCAATTACACCAACTTCTGAGTTGGACTTTGTTTAGTTATTACTAATTAAGACATCTCCAAAAGCACAAACTTACTGCTTGTTCACAGTGGAAGAGGCAAATTGGTTGTCAGAAATCCTTCAGAAGATAACAGAAAATGAAATATTGTACTGTTATCATTATGCTATTATAGAATTGATGCTACCCTATCTTGAGTATGACACACAGTTCTGCACACTCCATCTCAAAACCAGGCTGAAGAACTAGGAAGGATACAGGGAAGAGTATATAGTAGCAATTAGAATCATGGAACAATTTGAATCTTCAATTTGAAAACAAAACAATCCAGGGCAATATGAAATATTCTGTGAATGAAAACAGTAATAGTAAAGGGAAAGCTGTCTTTTTGTAATGCAAACACTAGTAAATGCCACATTAAATTGGATTTAAAACAAGCTGTACAAAGTGTTTTTCTTTCACATAATGCATAATTAAATTAGCCAATTCATTGCCACAGGATATTGTGAATGTCAAACTACAATGTGTTTTATAAAGAAAATCAAACAACTTAAAAATACAGAAGTACATGAAAGAGTGTTAAACTTCATGGCTTCAGTATGGTCTCCATCTCAGGATAGCTACTAGTTATCAGAAGCTAGAAGGGAAGTGACAGGAAGAAAAATGTCAGTCTATCTTATTTTTTTTGTGGTGTTTTCCTAAATCCTACTTATTACTGGCCTCTGCAGAGTTACAACTTAAGCTGCAATTGACAGTTGATAAGGGAAGGTGGGTGAAATAAAAAGAATTCCTATTACAGCAGGTGAACACATGTACTCATCCATCCCTTCACGTTCAGCTCCAAATACTCCTCCTCCTTTTTATTCTTTTCCTTTTGTACCTACTGTGGATAATGGTTATTCTGTTGTTGCTCAACTTGATCCCCATACTGTTTCCATGCTTTTTGCCTGTGGAAGTTCAGAGGGAGTTCCTTGTAAATGATCTGGGAAAGGGTGGGGACTAACTATTCACACACAGCCTGTTTTGTCATGATAGTAGTATGTTTCTTAGCTGTCCAAGAGTAAGAAAGTACTTCATTTGGAAAAAAAACAGGTGATTAAGTTGGATTCATTTTAAACCATTAATTGAATAATGTTAGCAGTGTACTTAAAAAAACCATAGACTACTGTGTGGGAGGGGTATTTAGCTATTAGGAGGGGTTTGCTGTCTACATTTAATTCCTTATTGTGAGCAGTTTAAAACTACTTTGAGTGTAACTACACAGATTGATTGCAATGTAGACATACCCTACAACGTAGTTTTCTTGACTTCAATCTAAAGGAATGCTGTAATATATAGCATAGTATGACGAAAGTTTCCAATAAGTTCCAGTTTTGGAACTATGAGTCTTACATTTTAAAGATGCTGAGTTCAGTCATTAAAAGGAAAACTCTATACAAAACTTTGCCTAGGAATGAGAAAGTTGCAACATTTATTTAGAAATCTGAGTTTTTTCTCTTTAATAATTATAAACAACACAGTATGTTTTTAAAAACAAGATGGAAGCAAGTTTTTACATCGGTCTTGCTTGTTTTCTGCATTGAATAATGAGTACTTGTGGATATTAAATATAACTTTTTATGTTCACAGAAGCTCAAATCAGATTTCTTAAGGCAAAGTTACGTGTTATGAAGGAAGAGCTGGATAGTGTAGTGTGTGCATGCAGAAAAAAGGTAAGAGCTAAGTTTTCTTATCTGTAGAAACAGAGTAGGTTCCCCTTTAACAAATAATCACAACAGAATTCCCTCACCATTCCTTTTCAAATATTAAGAACTAAGGTTCTATTTTTAAAAATTTCCTAAGAATTGAGAGTCAAGAATAGTATTTTCTGTATAAATGTAATCTTGGGCTAAAAGCTTGCGAAGTACACTTAATGGAAAAGAATTTGAGACAGGAAAGAACCACTGGGAATGCAGATGTGCCCCAGCTGTAGGGACACTGTGGTGCTGCAGAGTGCCCTGGCCATCACAGCTGGGCAGCAGAGCGTTTCCAGAGCCTGAAAAAAAGGAGGAGGATACAGTAGCAGTTAAATACAGATTTTGGTATACAGAGAGCAGACGAGTGGTGCCGAGGGTGGGGTGGTGGTAGGAGAGGGATGTTTGGGGCATATCTACCATATGTATATTTTTACTGCCTTTTATTTACAAAACATTGCTGTCACATTATCCTACTGCTTCCTTGCAATAATTTAGTTGGGGTTTTTTGCTAATTACTGTCAAACAGGATGATGAAAATCAGAATTTAAAATCACGGCTTAAAGATACTGAAGAAGAAAACAGCAGACTGCAACGAACCATCAGTATGCAACATTCACAGACGGAAAAGTACAAAACGTTGTCACAAGAAGCAAATAAAAAAAGTGAAGGGTTACAACAAGAGGTCATTGCACTAGAAAAGGTATTGCAGATATTAGTCTCATTTATCTGACAAAAGGGAAAAAAACCCGCATCAAATCACCCTCTGTACCCTAGTTTGATAGATTCATATCCAATGATCCCATTAGCGTTTCAGTCTAATAGTTTTAGAAATTGTATTTTTAAATGGTCTAATCACTTTTTGAAGGAAGAAATAATATATTATGCTAATTACTTTTCTTCTGCTTCTACAATCATATATTTCTGTATTTTAAAATTAAATTCTTGTGTAAAAGAGCTGCAAGAGACAAAACAACCTCTTTAGAAACTGCTCAAATTCACAAAGGAATCTTGAAAAATACAGGGAAATTTTATTTTTCTGGTTTTAATCATTAAAAATTACTTCTGATAATAAGAGTTTTATTGTAAACTGTAGAACCTGGTGAACATTTTGAAAAAAAACACCTGCAGCTTATATAAGTGTCTTCTGCAGGTAGAGGAGAGGATGTGTCTTTGTTCTTGAAAATGGCTGTTTGAAAACCAGTTGCTCCAATTTGGATGAATCAAAATTAACCTGGCTCCTGCTGTAGGCCACATATGCAAAATTGTATACGTGCCTAGTTGTAGCAGATGGGCTGCATACACAGCTTTGTTTGTTTGGAACTTAATCTAAGAGCAGCATGTGTTTTTCTTTAATTACTCAGAGCTAGAGAGGTTGACTTCAAAATCACATAATACACATAGTATTGTGTAGCACGTGTAATATAACCAGGAGAATGCTTCACTGAAAAATTTGGGGAAAACAGAACACAAGTCAGCCTAATAAAATCTCATTATACTTTCATTAAATCATACTGTGCATTTGTATAGGTATGCTTTCATCTTAACGTTAGGGAGTTCTGGCATTTTAAAACTAAAACATTCTGAGTTTGTGTGTCCTTTTTGTGCAGATACTTGGAGGTTTTAAGTTCCCTTACATAAGTACCCTGATTGTTGATCCTGTCAGGAAAAATAGTCAATGGTGATATTCATACTACTCATCGGCTCACAGGAAATAGGGCTAAGAGACCTACAAAGTCATTTAGGCCATTGTCTTAAACCAAGACAGGATAGATTGTATCCAAACCATCCTGGACATAAGTTTGTTTAACCTGTACTTACAGCCTTCTGCGATGGCCATTGCCATAATTTCCTTAGACATTCTCTGCTGGTTCTTGTACACAGTCACAGTTAGAAAGTTTATCCCAGTGTTTAGGAGATGTCTGTTGTGATGAAAACTTTATTCCCTTTTGCTGCACAGCTGCCATATCCAAAATATGCTTGCTCCTGGGAGGAAAGCAAGCTGCCTGGGAGGGTTACTCGTAGGCGAGCTCGCTGGTATCATGCTCCCTACTGATACTCAAGTGCCTCAGCCATGCCAGAACAGTGGAGAAAATCCAGAGATTGAAATGGGGTGCAGTTTTAGAACATAGTAGTTCCCTTCCCCTGCCTTAAAGAAACATTATATGGGAAGATTAATCCAGCTTTTATTTAAATTATTGAAGAATTGGCAAAACCCTTGCCTACTGACAAAATAAAATACTTCAAGCATTTTTAAGATGAAAAAATTGGAGTCAAATATATTTAACAATATACCCTCACTGGATGACTTGTAAAAAATTCCTTGATCAGGTATTGTGTATGACAGTAAATGTCAAAAAGCCCTAAAAGAATTATTAGAGTTCTTTCATTAAATTATATGATTAGCTGATACATAATTTGTATTGCATGCAGACTGTTTTTTGGATGTTAAATGTTTGAAAGGCTGTATCCCAAAGCTTTTCATATTAATGCAGAATAAAATACATAGCACTAAAGATTTAGTTGACCCCATTCACAGCTCCATCATCTTGATACAAAACAAAAAGGTCTGCACGCTGTGCAGCTTGTTTTCTGTGGAAAGGTGGGGGGTCAGCTTCCAGCAAACGAATTTGCGTTCAGTGATGATGCATGTGCACGTGTTCCAGGGAGGGGCTCTGCCACCCTACTAGCCAGGCTTTTACCCATCTTTTTTTTTTTAATCATTCAGATACACAGGTTAGCAACCAAATAAAAATGTTGAAGCAATATCTGTTTTTGTGAATTTTTGGAGGAGACACGTTCACCAATAGAATTTTGGAGGATTAGCGAGATGCATCTTACTCTCCTATTTCCTTCATCCAGTTTGGAGAAGATTCAGAGCTTCCCAGAAATACCTGTTCCAGTCCTAACGTCACCATAATGACTTTGCTGCAGACACTCATCAATTAGTATGTATTTCTTGGATAAGTGATGTGGAAATTAGAAGTAACCACCACAAGAGCTGGTGTGGAATTGAGAAAATAGAACAGTTACTCAGAAATAAGGCAGTCTGAGAGTAAAAGGTTAACAACAAGTCCCCTCTGCACTCTCATTTGGTTAAAACAATCTTTCTGTGCCCATTACTAAAAATTTGATAATCTTGTAAAAGAAAGTCTGTTTCTTTTTCACAGATGACAAGACGTGCTCTTTCTGCCAGAATTGTTTATTTCTTCTACTTTGTCTTTTATCTATATTCCGTGATCTTTAATCTTATTATTCTGTTCCTCATCTTGGTCTCTTTTTCTCATTTCCTCGCTTACAGCGCTGTGAAATACTATCATCAGAGATAAGAGGGAACTGTTTTGATTGTTGCCATAAACACTTGATGAACTATTTTCTGCTAGATGAAATAGTTACTACCCTCAGCCGTCTTCGGTAGGCTGTTTTAACTTTTTGTTGGTAATTGTGTGTAGTAATCTCTGGGGAAAACAGTTCAAAGGAACAGGTGGGAAGAAGCAGCTGGGAATGCTGGCCACCATTCCAAAATCTGCCAAGGAGTGGACGTACCGACTTTTTTTTTTTTTTTTTCCTTTTTTTCTGACTGAGCATACAAGATTTTTCAGTCAATCCTGTGGTCTGACATGATCAGTGCCACAATTATTCTAAGACAATTTTAAAACAAAGATGAGAAAGATCCCTTTTCAAGATTTCACAGGAGAAGGGGATGTTTTAATGGTGGAATTAATGGTCTTTGAGACAGATTCTATCTGCAGGCCAAACAAGTCCACAGACTCTTAAGTTTCCAAGGGTGAGCCTTGCTGTAAACAGGTTGTCTACATGGGATTCATTAAAATGCCATTATTCATACTGTTTGGTTTTATCCTTTGCTTCTTAAATAGGAATTGGAGAATCTAAAGCGTGTACAAAAGCAGGCCGCAGCCAGTCAGAGCGCAACAGAGGTTCGCTTAAACAGGGCCCTGGAAGAAGCAGAAAGGTATAAAATGGAGCTGAATAAACTGAAGCAAAGTAACAAGGTACAGTGGCTTAGGAAAACAAGTTCCAACCTGTAATCACTCAGGAATGCTAGGATGAGACAAAATGCGTGATTAGGTTTGGATGTATTGTGTCTCTTACAGACAGTCCCAAAATTAACTTAGAGCAAGTCACCAAAGGGCTGGTAAGTTATCTCAGATGACACTACTGCAACCTATGTAGGAGGAAGAAATGTACAGAATAAAATTCTAGCCTTTCTGATTTTCCCCTTTTGTGTGAAACTAGATGTGTTTAGAACACAGGCAAATCATGACTGTTGTCTTGGAGATTTTCTTTTCTTTTTTTAAGTTTCGATGTGGGAATATTTTGATTACTCCAGTTTCAGAAATGTCACGTCTGGCTACCGTTTGTAATTTTTGTTAGTAATGCCAAGTTTCATTGGTTAAAGGCACCACTTTAATAAATAAGACATTTCTCCTTTTCTTTCCCTTGTAGGATGTAGCTAACCAAGAACTCAAAACAATTGAAGAATTGAAAACAGAAAACAAGAAACTACAGAAACAAAAAGGAGAGCTAATGACAGGTTTTAAAAAGCAGTTAAAATTAATTGATATTTTAAAGAGACAGAAGGTAAGGACCAGAGCACCGTTATATTTCAGTTAGCAACCTCTAGCTAAATGTGTCTGTTGCCAAGTAAGGTAATCCTGTAAACTAGAGCCCCAAGACTGGGAGGTTCCAATGCAAGGGAGCAGCAGCCTCACTTTTATTAGTGCACATTGCTACCATTTTGCTTTGTAGCAAAGGCTGATCTTCTTTTGAATTGACTCCGTTCCTAACTTTAAACATTCCCTGTAGTCACGGTGAAGGATTACTCCTGACAAGCTTTAGGACCGAGAGTGTCTATTTGTTCAAAACCAAATACTGTTCAGGTACTAACAGCAACTCCCTTTGGTGCTGTGTCAGTAGAATCCAGTTCAGCACGTGAGAAATTTTTTGAGTTTTTCCCCCCAGCATAGTACTTGTTGTATCAGCAGCTGTAAAAGCATGCCCTCTCAGGAATGAGCCATTACATTTGAGACCTACTTTCTTGCTGGGTTCTCTAGTAACATCGTTTCTTTTTATTTATATTCTGAGGTGTTCTAAAAATGTACAATTCTGCCCAGATGCAGATCGCCTTGTGTGTCAGGCAAAAAAGGAAAGAAAAAAAAAAAGAACACTTAACCTAGGTGTGAATTTACTAGATGGAAGGAGGGGAGTTGATCTCCATCCTTTTGCAATCCCTGTAATATCACGTATACTTTCAATCACACACAGCACAGTAACATCTGCATGGGTGTTCCCATCCACACGGTACTTGCAGCTAGCCTTACGTTGAAATCCTGCAGTCATTTTGTATCTCTCTCTGTTCCTCTCCCTGAGAGCATAAAAGGGAGGGCAGGGGCTACTGCCTTTCAGTTTTTTTAGCAGCTGAAGCTGAAATTGAATAGAGGGTAAGCAGTAAATACTTGCTGACAATTCATGCTGAACAATTAGTGATACAGCTTTCATAGAAAGTTGTAGTGAAATGTGGATTAATGCTTCAGCTAGAATATAGCTAAAAAAATTATTTAACTATTGTATTTGATAAAGCCATACCAATGTCCCAGAAAGGAGGGACTTGCAAAGAGAAACCTCAGACACTGCAGAGTAGGTAAATACCTTACATTTCTCAAAATATATTTTCAGCAGAGACCTGTCAAATGGGCTTTGATGGTTCAAATTGAAAGAACCTGTGAGTTTACGTGAAAGCAAATTAAAATGATTGTATACTAAGAGAAGTTGCCCAAATCAAACAATTTTCCACTTACTGATGCATTTAGGCCTCATAGTTCCATCACACCTTTCACTTACGAAATAATTGGGATTGCGTGCTGTCATTTTTCATCATATCAGTTTTCCTTCTGATGCTGCACAAGACACATGCAGAGCTATGGGCTTCACAATTGTCGAGATAGGATCTGAAAGTCATAGAGGGGTTCACCTCTCATTGTGGACTCTGCTGTGCCTAACGTGACTCATTTTGGGATGGAGTTAATGTGCTTGTTGTGCTCTCAAACCAAAGCTGTAAGAGAGCTAAAGCAAGGGAGGTATGGTGACTTGTTGAGCAGAAGCACCTTAGAAGGGCCAGCCTTTGAGATAAGAAAACAGAACATTTGATTTACCCTTTGAGCACTGCAGTGATCGCCAGGCATTCTGTAAACACTCGTGAAGATGTTGAGCCCCGCCAGAGGAAGAATAGTTCTGCGTGGAGTGGCAATTAATGTAACAAAATACACGTACTTACCCTAAGAACTAGGAACTGCAGTATGGAAATACCCCCTTGAATCTGGAATACATCTCCACCACAGGACAAAGGGGGACAGGCAATTGGCATAAGAGGAACCGGAGCTGCTCCTGCATTGCCAGTGAAAGAGAATTCTTCTGGCAGTAACAGGATGCAGAGCAGATCTTGGGGATTCTTCTAACAGAAATAGTGCTGGCCTAGCCTTTGGCTGGCCTTTCTAGCTCTTCAACTTTGTCTTGAGAATGAAAATATTCCTGCAAAATATACTCTATATGGTATCTCATTGTCCTCTAGACCATGAATTCACTGAATTAGGCGTCAAAGAGCAGTATTTCTGTTTGACTGTCAATCAAAAACATAGTCTCAGGTAAACTTCACAAAACTTTGTTAAATACATTTTAGAAAAATTATGAATATCAGAACTGCAGCTAGTAGAGGAAGCCACTTACCTTTTCTCACAGAACACGTTATTTATCACAGGAGGAGGATGCTGTTAGTTCTCCTTTCAGAACAAACTACGATTGGAAGAACTTGAAAGAGAATGGTGCCCACTCTGCCTCTTATAACCTCAGGCAGAAGGCACAGGGGAAGGGCAGCTAAAGCTCACATGCGCTCAACGTACGTAATCACCTGAAGAACTTGCAGTCTGCTTCACACAATCCTTTTGTTGAACAAATGAGGGAAACCTCATTTGGGCCATTTGTGTAGTATTTGTGTGGCAGGTTCAGCTGCACTTAGCAGGTACTGCTAGCCTGAAGGTGAGGATATGCTACCACATGGGGAATGAAAGAGGAAAAAATCCCTAAAAGGTATGAAATAGCAGTAGTAGGATGAGTTGCAGCTGGTAGCAAGTGGTAGCTGGTGTTCCCATTGGTCTCTTCAGATCATTCTCTGCTTGTCTTGAAATAAAGAATTTAATAGAAAAAAATCATAGTTTTAAAAGGGATGAAGGGAAGTTAGTCCGAGCTTTACAGAGCTGGAGGGTGTTACGCTGCCTGGGGGAACTGCAATATGCTTTGTTGTCATTTTGAACTGACAATATGTCTATATAAAAAAAACCACAACAGACTCCTTGCAGACATGAATTGGTTCCTATTCTTCAAAACATAACCATTTTATTAAAGTTTGCAGTAAAAACTATTTAGCTGGGACACTTTCCTTTCCACTTTGAGGGCTGATAGGTAGAGAGATTGTCCTCTGGTGCAGGGATGAAGACATGTGGTACAGCTGTGACATCAGCTGGAAGCCAGGGAGGTTTCAGGCTTTCGGGCTGCTGCACCTCTTTGCTTGCTAGTTCTCTACAGATACACTGACCATTTAGTACTTGTTTTCTCATCAAACCTTGATGACTCTGATGACGTTTTTCCAAGCAATTGCATTATTTGAACAGAAAATAGCCTTGTTACATGTGAAAAACTTCTGTTTGTTCCTTTCAGTCTTCCATTTAAAATAATGTGCTATATGCTATGGAGTGCAAATACAAATTCAGACTACTGTATGATTTTTAAATATACACATACATACACCTGTGTGGGGGTGTGTTCGCCACTTATGTGGACCACAGATGCATGGTGATACACGGCAACACAGCCACAGTGGCCAGCTCCAAGTATTTCTCGTTAAGGTGTAGAATGGTCACTTTGGTTTATGCCGATTGTTAATTTTTAATGGTGTTATGTGTGATGTAATGTTAAATGAGGATTTAACGAAACAATATATTAGAGGTGCTAGCATGCTGAATCTTAATGATGTATTTTATTTGTAGTAACTTTAAAGTTAAGCTGTATATTGATCAGCTTGAAAGAATGTATACCAGTTTTCTTATACATCTTTAAAGGTCACAAGAGTTGTCAGATTTTCAGTATTTTCCATGCCTTCTTAAAACTGAAATATTTTTAAAGTAATACAAGAAACTAAGAAAAGCTATTGGTCCTGTTTTACTCGAGGTGAAGCTGCAATGTTTAGCATAGAATTTATCACATTATCCCTACACTATTAAATTTTTGCAGAAAAATATGACTAGCAGCTTCAGCTTCAACAGGTGAACATACATCAAAACCTCAGTACAAAAAACCAGAACGATAGATTTGAAGGCCCTTTCAGCTATCCCAGTTGTACAGGATTTTGTATTGGTCATTCACACTGTTTCACCTTCTGCTCCTAATTTATTTTATTTACTTATTTACAGATGCACATTGAAGCTGCTAAGATGCTTTCTTTTACTGAAGAGGAATTCATGAAAGCTCTTGAGTGGGGAAATTATTGATTCCATATAAAAACTTCCATTTGAAATACAAATCAGATAGTACAGTATTTTTGCACTGTGTATGAATGCTTGTTAGTAATAATAGTTAATAACTGCGTATCCCAGTGAATCGGTTTTGTTGATTTGCTTATGTTTAAATTGTTTAACTGTTACAAGCCCAATAGCTTGCATTGTATAGTATCACATGAAATACAAATTTCTAGTGAAGTTTCAGGCCAAACTGCCTATTCTGTAATGAGCAGAGAAGCACAGACCGTGCAAGGAATATTTCAACAAGTGAACTTTGTTATCAGTGTGCTCTGTTTTAGCATTTAAAACAACACCTTATGTATGGTAATATTCAGTCCAAAGAAGTCAGAGTTTAGTCTCAGGAAATTCCATGTTGCAACAGAAATAAATTAAACCCGTGATCCAGCTGAGAAGAAAATGTCATGTCCTTTTTAAAACATGCGGTTGGAAAATTGGCCTTGTCTGTTCTCTGTAACAGATCTCCCCTCAAAGCTACTTGGTCTGGCATCTAATTTCAGCACCGACAGCTCTTTTATAGAAATGATCATAACTTGTATTAGCTATTACATCTTACACCCTGGCTGGCAAAAACGTACATGAGACTTGCCCCTCACTATCCACACAGGCTCCAGAATCCGATACAGTCCTGTTGGTTAAAGTAGCTACTTTAGTCAAGGTGAAAATACTGAATCTGTCCCTGGCCATCAGCTGCTGCTTTGGGATACAGTCAGCAGGGAGGGCTCCACATTCACAGGTGCTCTAAAGTATTACGTCCTTAAAGATTTCATTATGCCATCATTATAATCAAGAACTAGATAAAAGTTTGAGTGTAGATGAGCTGAGTATATTGTGTACATTAATGAACAGGAGCAACAAAAGCTTGTGCTGCTTGCATGCACCTCTCAAACCTCAGCTGTTTCAATGGATTCCTCCCTTGGAGTAACTGAATTGGAACATGGCACATAAATAGTAAGTTTATGCACCGAAAGAAAAGTATAAACAGTGATTCTGACCTCAGAATGGAAAAATGTCTCTGCTTAAATCCTACTTGCAAAGTAACAGTGAAACAAGTAACTCGGACCTACCCCTTTGAGATGAACCACATTTACATTAGTATTTTAATAGTGTAATGCCAGTGCAGATAAATCTTTAAATTAAAACCAGAAATAGTGCATTAAGAGAATCTTACAGTCCATACTGAAATACACATGTGAATTTACACTACCTTAGGTTTCTGCACAGTTGCTGGAGAAAACGTTTTAAACATTGCTACATCACTAAGCAAGAATAATTGAGAAATCCGTAACAGTTTATTGATGAAAAATGCCACGTACAACATACGCTTAAATAAAACTAGCTGCTCATCAGTTTAGAACTCTGGTCTTAAAATGGAGACTTTTTATGATGGTAAAAAGGAGTTCCTCACTTAACAGCAAATGGGAATTTTCATTAGAAATCAGATGACACCTAGTGGCAAACCATGAGATGAGACGGGGGAAGTTTCAGCTCTCTTCTGAGAATGGATTACCTCTTCTCTTCTGATAAGCCAATCTAAACTCCTCTCCAAGCATGTTAATGTCATCTTTGTCTTTGAGTATTCCCTGCAATAAGGGGAAAGAAACACACATCAGATGGTAAAACACAGTAGAGAGCTTATTATAGATCCCTGAAATTTTCTATGGAGGTGAGTAATAGCTTCTGTCCCTGGTACCAGTGTTACCTTTGAAACAAACAGCCCTGAAAACCATCACCAAACTTCCGTAGATGAGTTTCAAATTGGTGCACTTGGTGCCAACCTAGAACCCCTGCTGTTGTTCTTCACACAAACGATGATGAGAACCTCGTAAAGATTCTGACACTGTACAAGAGACAGCACTTACCTGCATCCTCTTTCTAATAAAAGTGTTTGTAGTCAGCACAGCACAGGTGCAGGTTTAGTAAAACCACACAACTGCACTGAAGAGAGGCACTGGCTGGGCTGGGGCTCCATCTCCACCTCTGGTTGTGTTAAAGTGAGCCCATACAAAGACATTATTTTGGAAATCAATGGATACTCAACAACCTAATGGGAAACTGTTTCAGGGAAGGGAAGCAGGGGAACCCAGAAATCTAAGTCTCTAACTAATTCTAAATTAATTTTCTAAATCAATTTTAGGGCTAAAACCATGTATGATCACAGAACATACCCTGCAGCATTTAGAAAAAAAAAAAAAAATTACAAATTGCATTTACACCGGAGACTTTACAATCAGGTAGCACTTTCCTATTTAACCATTCTGAGTGAAGTAACATGATTATGACCACACGACTCAGACATGGCATTGAAGATGAGAAAGGAACAAGTAGGATGTCAGTACCATGGAACAAGTATGAGCCTTGGACACTGAAATAGCCAAGACTTCCTACAACAGTAAATTCAAACCAGAAAACTATATTGAAGTATTGCCAATTTGAGTTATCCTTTAATTAAATCTACATTAGAAAATAACTTTATCGCTCCAAATTTTACGAATTCACACACCCAATTAGTGTATTAATATTTGAATAACATTATACTCTGCTATATTTACAATGTTCTCCAGTAGTGTAGAAAAGAATTTCTTTAAATAGTTGGATATTTCCCTCCCTATTACAAATGCATTTTTACATCCCTAAAGCACTCCCTGTTCATTTGCATGCCATCAGGTGACCTTTCTGATTATGAAGTATAATACAAAATAGATTGTAATTTATTCCAATTACAATAATTACTTCCATCTTTTTAACTTTTAAAAGCACAAGGATGAACAGAGTGAGCTTTGAAATGCTTCTGTAAGCACTGCAGTTTATTGCACTGGAACAGAGCCCAGGCCTTGTTTCCATGGTAACTGAAGACTTAGAAGATGGCCAACACTGTCAGAAATACCTCCCAAAACCCCAACTGAGAATTTCGGTGGAAACGGGGTTTAAGATACAGTGGACCCCTCTCTAGTTAGGAAAGTCCTGCTTTAGAACTTGCATTCCATATTCCAAAAACTGAACGTGCAAAGTGCTGTGGAAGCTTTCAGCAAGTTCTGTACAAGGCGTCAATATTGCAGTAGAGCCCAAAGCCCCCCATACAGAGTGAATGTTTTTGTAAATTGCTTCCCAACTTGAAAAGGAAAAGAAAAAAAAAAAAAAAAAGGTGAGCAGAGGAGAGCTGACAACAAGGACACCCGCTGACTCCAGGAATGTACACAGTTCTGTATACATTCACCTTAGATCATCCAAGAGAACACTGATTTACAGGACAAACATTTAAAGCATTTAAAGTAGAATTCACTTACTCGAGGAAGATAACCCAGTAACTTAGATGCATGGTCTTTCAGGAGTTTCTGCCTCTCTTCTTCAACAATTGCACGGATGTTTTCTTGTCTTCTCTTTTCTAACTGTCTTTCTTCAAGTTCACGCTCCTACAATAAACAAGCAAGTTTTTGGAACTGTTCAGTTTCAGCTTAGGGAACATTTCTTTCCACCAATACCCACCATAGTATAAAGAGAAAATTTTTTGGGGGGGAGTAAATTTTTAATTTCTACTTATTACCTCCTAGTCACGGGAAATTAATTTGAAAAGGATGGAAAAGTGTCTGTAAAAACTCACACAGCACTACTTAGACAATACATGTTTGGTAACTAGGAAAAAAGCTCAGACAAAAGGGAAGACAATGGCAAGACAGAGGCTAGTCTGCCATGCAAGTGTTTGGTCTCATACTAGAAGCCCTGTGAAAGGTAGTTAGGTGTGAAGTTCCAGTTCCTCCTTGGCTCTCAGACAGGTTAGTCTCTTCCTGCCCTACTGTCCTAACCCAGGAAAAGGAGAAACAGGCATGTATTCTCATGCTGATGATTAGAAATTGCACTTCACATTACACATATGATTTATACTCTGTAACAGGTCTGAAAACTGCAGTATAGGATTCCATGACCTGTTTTCAGTTTACGCCTTTTCCTCTGATGGGAATTTGAGAGACTTAATCTACACTGAAGGCTGGGACTTGCCCTTCTCACACACTGTCATCAGTGCTGCTGATCAGGGGCACTGCCCTGGACAACAGTTGTGTTGCTGGTGCCACGGCTCTTAAAAAGACATATTTGCAGAGCATGTCAGGTATACAGGGGTCTAACCCTCTAACCCCTTGAGCTACAAAAAAAGGTAGCTCTAAAAAGACCTTTTTTTTTTGTCAGCAAACCAAACTACAGGTCTGCTTCCCCCCTGCACATTTCTCTGCAATTCCCGTCACCCTTCCCTCCTAACAATAGTCTCATCACTTTGGATAGCAGAAGTATTCTCATACTGAAACACTTTGGCTCAAACCAAAGGTGAATGTGAAAGCTCTTACTTTATCTGCAATAAACTGTTTGCGACGGTCTTCAATAAGTTTTTCCACAGCCCTTTTGTGTTCAAGCTGTTTCATTCTTCGTTTCTGAGCATTCATCTGTTCAACGCGATCATCCTCTGCAAACTTGGCCAACATCTGTTGTCTGAAGGCTTCTTCCTCTTCTTGCAGAGCTTGTTGCGCTACCTTCTTTAAAGCAAATTGCTCTTCGTACGTTTGCCTTAAATCTAGGCGTTGCTTTATTCTCTTTTCAATTTCTGCCTATAAAGGAAATTTAATAAAATGCTGTATTATTCTGGACAACTTCGATCATCATCATCATCCAATCTATTTATCTCGGAATAAATTTACTGTAGCTGTTACCTTCTAGCATAAATAACTGGAGCACACAATCCCTAACTGGCAGCACTTCCCAGTATTAACCAGCTTAGCAAATGTCTCAAGATTCTCAAAATTAAGTCCAAAACAAAAGGAGATTTTTTTTTCCACTAGCATGAAGTGAATCAACAAGACAGTTGTCCTGAACAACTCTAAAAATAATAGTATTTCGTATCTCAGCCTGTGCTACTTTTTGTCACCCACAGCAAGATAAGAGTGTGGGGCAGGCCCACAGGAAAAAGCAAATGGATATACAAAAAGCAAGCAGTTAATTAATCTGCTCAGGTTAAACTTGAACTTGAAAGTAACTGGCATTCTCCTTCAGGAGATAAATAAATGTATAAAGGGGACAATAAAAGTATTTGAACCTTCAGTTGTCTTCCTGGTTGAAATAAAAACATAAATACATTAGGGATGACAAAGGAAACTCAAAGGACAGAATTCTCCCTCCAAAAACTAAGTTAATATACAAACTGCTTGTCTGACTAAGAACCTTTAGGAACTAGTGTTGGAAATAGACACTTTGTCCCAGAACAGAATTGAAAACAGTTCAAATTCATTTAATACACCTAAAACCATGTCAGAATTAAGCTTTTTTTGCTTTGAGATGGCTCAAAAACTTCCCAAAGTCAAATAACACCACAGACTTCGTAAATACAAAACGTGCAAAAAACCCCAACCCGGTCAATGAGCAACCCTGTCAGCGTTGTTAGAGGACAAGTAGTGGAAATGGGAGCTCATCCTCGATGCATTAGGAATTGCACGTGGGAGATACCCTCGCTAAACGTTCTTTAAGCATCACAACAATTTCCAAAGACCAAAGGAGCGCTGCTCCATCACGCAGACATCAGAAATGAAAGGACAGGGGAAGGCTGTGTAAAATATTGCCCCTGCGTTCGCTTTATTACTTGTTTTCTACATCAGTGATTCAAAATGGTTTCATTTTCTCTTTAAGTTTTCATATCTGGTCTGTTCAAATTAGATTAGTTTACCCATAGCTACAAGTGCTCCATGAATTATGTGTTCTGCTGCATATACGACACAGGAAAAAACTGCTGTCAAATACCAAAATACCCACATATGTATCCGCAGGAGAAGTCCAGGGAAAGTGAAATATTCCGCCCCCTCGATACACAGGTGCTACTTCAGCTACCTGCCAGCACTCACCATCTCCTTCTTCCTTTCTGTCTCCGCTTGTTCTTCCAGATACAGCTCTTGGCGGATTTGTTCCAGTTCTTCACGCTTCTGTTGTTCTCTTTCCAGATTTTGGGCAATCTATGACAAGAAGGAAAGATTTCTACACGAAAACCAAGAACATACAATAAATTTTTCTACAGTTTCCATTTTTGATACCATGCTTTGAAGTCTTTGTTTTTTCTCCTCAGTGTCTCGAACTTTAGCCATCTGATCTTCTTCTCTTTGTCGCTGAATATTGGCAAACTCCATGATTTTCCTATTTTCTTCTTCCATCTCTTCCTGTTTCCTTCTCCTCCAGATAGCTTGTTCTTTTTTAAATTCTTCAATATATGCCTGAGTTGCTCTCATTTTATCTAACTTCAGTTGTTTTTCCCTGTAGAAGATGGGAAAAAAAAATGTTTAAAGTTATTTAACATACTGCAGAGTAACATTAAACAGACCACATGCTCATCATTCACAATATATTGCAGAGATAAGGACTTAAATGACTCTCCTTACCCACTCAGCTACAAAATAGGTATCTAAATTGAAAATACTCATTAATGAATTGCCCCCAAAAGAAAATCTCACATCTAACACCTTTCTTCAGGGAAACAGACTGTACACATAGGTACTCGCTACTGCTCCGTTTTATACACTCTCCATCAAAACAGAAAGAGGAGGAGAAGGAAGCCCAAGACCCCTGTGTCACCAGAACCTCCTAAACTTTTTATTTATACAAAACTCTTCCCCACACACACTACCACCCTGCCCTCAGAAACAAGAATAACAAGAACATTCTGATGTTTAAACAGCAAAACCCACACAAGTCAGGCTGCTGTTAGCAAAACGCGACCAAGGAAAATTAAAATAGGCCTTAGTCTATGAAATAAATGTATACAAATTAGTTTTCCATACAGAATTGAGTTGTTTTGTTTCAAATTAATAAATAATAAAAATGTAAAGTAACTAACATTTTGTCTTCCTCGTAGATCTTTCTTACGATTTCATCAGTCATGAGTTTCTCTCTCAGAAACTCTTTATAAGCATCCTGCTTCTTCATGTCTTGTTCCTCAAGCTGTTTCTCCAGTTCTTGCTGATACATTATTTTCTCCTTGTTTCGCCTCAGTTCTGCAGAACTTTCTTCTTTTATTACCCTTTCGTACTCTTCTTTCATCTTTTGGGCTATTTCAGCCTCATGTTTCTATAGGCGGGGGAAAAAAGCAATGCAAGATTCCTTTTCGCTCTCAGTAATACAAGTTGTAGTGAAAAATTACACGGCATAAAAAGGAATTATACTGCATTACAAAAATGGAATGTTTTCCATCTCAATCTATAAATATAGTGCCTTAACATGCTTAATAAGTTAATTCAGTACAAAGAACCCTTGAAGAGAACCCTCAATATCTAAACACCTTGAGGAGAAGTAACAGTACCTAACGGAAGCTACATATTGAACAAAGATGCAGCAGAGCACTTTGGCACGAGTGGAAGCCGCTCACCTCAGCGCAATGACTGGAGCATGGTTTGACTATGTAGAACAGCCTCAATAAACATGTGGTCTTTACAGCAATTTGTGTAAACTGAATTTTGTATAAAACATTAACATAGTCAGAACCATCTGCCTGATCGCCAATATTATTCTACACATAAATAAAAGTTTGCAATTCTTTCTGAAGTTATTCAGATACACGTTTAACAATAGTAACAACATTTGCAACCATCTGCTTCTGAGGTAAGGATTCGCCACAGTAAACGCTTACTGTGCAAAATGCATCATAGTTTTAACTTGGATAAATAGTTCAAAACCAGTACAATAAGTCCATTCATACAGCTTAATTTACTACTACTTTGATAGCAATGTCAAAATAAGCTTTTTGCCTACGGCTGGTTACTACCAGCTAATTAGTCCTTCTTAACACAAACCATTTTCGATAAACACCGAATGCCTAAACCTAACAACGTTTTAGATGAAAAGGCCAGCTTCAAAGTAAAAATTTTCAGCACAATCCATACAGTTCCAGCACGCAGGTGCTGGGACACTCTGTGAAGCCAATTACCATTTTCTCATACTTTATAGCTTCTTTTTCAGCAATCTGTGCAGCTCGCTCTTTATTCACGTAAGCAGATTTTAGCTTTTTTTCTAACTCTCGAAGTTCAAGACTGGGAAAAAAAAAAAAAAGAAGAAATATCCTATTACAAGAAAGTAAGTACCTATAGGAAAGAAATTGAAATTTCCATCACTATTTAAAGGCAATTAAAAAAAAAAGATTTTTTCAGGGAAAACCCAATTTTAGACAAAAAATATTACTTTAGTAAAAGAGCAGAAAAAGAAAACAAAATCTGTTTTAAAACAAGGGTTATCTACATTTGTACATACGCTATCAATGGTTTTGCATACTTTACATCTAACTATATAAATGCATATATACAAACAGGTATGCTTATAGATATGTGTAAGCATACGTATGTATTCAAAATGAAAAAATTTTGTGGATCAAAAAGAGTTCTGCTGACAAAATTTGCTTGAAATGAACTTTTTATCATACCTTGATCTTGAATAACTTTTCCTTCCAGGTGAGATTCGTTTCTGCTTGTGCTACAACTCTCGCAGTCTGTCGTGTCCCGTCCCCAGTGACCCTGCACTGCCATCACACCTCCCTTCTCCTTCTCTGCCTCCTGTTCACCCCCAACACGCTTTGCTGACACCTGGAGCAACCTCTCTGCTCACAGCCTTCTCCTAAGCACTTCTCAAAATCTACCTTCTCCTACGTTTTTTCCACTTGTGATCTTCTCTGCTGCCCAAATTCAAAGAGCTAAAGCCTGTTTAAAAAGTAAATTACTAAAACTTCCCCTCCGTTGCTCGAAACCATCTCACACTGCAATCCGCATCTAAGGTTCAGTCTAAAGCACGCTCAAGAGCAACAAAAACCGAGCGGGAGGTACGCAACGGACTAAATACTTCTATAAAGCCACTTTCCAGAGTTGGGTTGATTTACCATAACAGCTAGTTAAACAAAGCGGTGAGATTTGTGAAGCGTTACCTGTTCTCTCTCACTTGTTGCCTCATCTTTTCCTCTCTCAGTTTG